GAAGCCTACTGGCCACCAACGGTGCCAGGGAGCAGTGATGGTACATGAGTGTACCATGGTACGCCCATCGCTGGCCAGGCTTCTGCATTACGGGCCAGCTGTAGCTTTCACATGGTCTTCAAGGGCAGCCCCACGTAGAGCATATGGCAACAGTCCACTCCTGCAGCGGCTGGCGCATGAGGGGCTCTCTGGAGGGCCTCCCGATCCAGGAACGGGCACCGCAGGCCACACCAGAGGAAGCTGCACGAAGGCTGTCTTGGCCACCACGGCCGCTTGCTCTTTACATACGATGTGTAAAAAAAGGGCAGGGCTTTGATTGCACAGTTGTGCTGCCCTCTTGACTTCTTTGACACACAGACACACCCAGGCACCCCTGTAGATGCTCCTGGTTTTGCTGGAGGCATACGTTACTTTAACTGGTTTGTCTTCTATTTCAGTCAGTTGGATACTGCCATGAACAATTTGGGCCTTCACAGTCTCTCTCTCTCTCTCATACACACACACACACACACATTTTTCCTTGAGCAAATTTAACTCCTGCCATTTACATATGTCCATATACTTTTCTTGGCCCCAACAGGAAAACTGGCCTGCCCTTGCCTTCTTGCAGAATCTTTTTTTTTTCAATTTTGCAATTCCCTAGTGGTCTTCCATCCAAGTACAACCTGGCTCTGATCCCCCTTGGGTATTTTCAAGATCAGCCAATGTAGGCACTACTGCTCCCTAGCTATCTCCAGACTCTTCTGAACCCAGCTGAACTCCTGGGACTTTATGGACACTCTGACAGCGTTTTCCTAGCAAAATCTGGAAGTAGTTTCTCACTCCTTATGGCAACTTTTCAGTGTACTGTACTCAGCGTAACCCTGGGTTTTCTCAAGATCAGCCAAGGTCCATTCTGCTGTACACCTGGCCCTAAAGGTGGCATACAATTGCAACAATAAATACTTTTAGAACAGCGCATTTTGAAAATAGTTAGGAGCACTGCACTCTCTTGCAGATGTATGCGTATTGAGGTGGAACTGAGAGATGACTGATCGGCAGATGTAGGAAAGAGGATCAGATCTTCAATGAATGACATATTCCACTTGCAGTGAAATGGGAGATTAAGGACTCGAGGAAGTATCTACGTAGAAAACCAGTGTTGCAGTTTGCAAAAGATAACCACAACAGACTGTAGGATTAATCCACTGTAAGATTTCTCAAAGGCAGAAAGAAAACACATCAACTCACAAAGCAAAGCAAAGTCCTAGTATTGCCTTGTTCTCCAAATACTGACCACTGTTATCACTCACGGGTCTTTCTGCTGGCCTTAAAACTTCATTCCAACATCACACTTCTCATCCTCTAAAGCATAGTTAGGATATTTAGGGAGAAGGTTCATGCTCCTCATCTTTCATCCAACCACGCTCTATGCTTAACAAAATAGCTTTGGTTTTTGACCAAACTATGGCTTGTTATTAAGGTAGAACCAAAAACCATGGTTGGATGAAACCTTCAAAGCCAAGACTGGAAAATATGGATGAAACCATAGTTACATTCATTGTTTGGAAGGATGAATCTAGACAGTGCAAATGGCAAACTTTGATTCAACCACGCTCACAAGGTTTTCTTAACCCAAGCATTCAAGAGAAGGAAAGAGTGTAAAATCACTTCTCTTTCCAGATCCTCTGAAATAAGCTATCCAAATGCCTTCCTATCACTAGATGTGTTGAATACACAACTTCCAGAATTCCTAGCCAGCACAGATGAAATCTGAGAATTATGGAAGCTGTACTCTCAATGAATCCAATGGAGATTAGGTTGAAGAAAATTATGAATGATGGTCTTCCAAGGTACAGGTAAGTATTTCACTCATACATTCAACATTCCCTGGGCCAAGAGATTTCATATTCATTTTCCTGAAAGATGTTTAGCCTCCTACCAATGGTTAGACGGATCTCTTCTTGCTGGTTGGCCAAACCATCGTAATAATACAGGTCAAACCGCCGCTCCGTCTTCCAGTCTCCCAGCAAATCCTTTCGCAAGCAGAAGAGGACGCTGAAGTGACTTTCACTGCACACCACCCAAATTGGAAACCTGGGGGTCTTGAGATAACAACCCACCTGAGCAAAAAAAGAGAAAGAAGAACATGCATCTATTTAAAACAATGACTGCTTTGAAAGCCTAGCAAAAGTTCAGAGATACTTTTAGAAGGATTTAGATCTCGCACAGAAAATCCTACCGGTGTTACAAACGAAGACCGAAGGAATTTCCTCGGGTATTGTCCTCCTTAATGACATATTCCCAATTTGCAAGGGCAATATCTGAAATATTTGTCTGGAGAATGGGAAGCAACTGTACTTCATCCTTCCTCTAAATTTTAGCCCTCTTTCCAGGCCAGATTATATTTGGGCTGGAAGGTCATTTGTGATTGTGTGTGTGTGTGTAATCTACACACATGGATCAAATGTTTCTGCAGTGATGCAGACAGAATTTATATTCGAAGGGGGCCCAAGATCACAAAAGTCAAGGTTGAAGTCATAAGAAGCTCATCTTCAATGAAAAGTCAGCGATTCACTTCCTTACAACATAATTCCAAAGGCTTCATGGTCTCCCATATAAATCCTTTTAATGATATGTTTCCTTCCGATAGAAATACTGTTAAATAATTCCATGTCTGGTTCCAGATACCACAACCTAAAAAGAGCTGAGTATGTTTCTTTGGGACAAGAGATGATTACGAGGCGATATGGTTGTCATCTCCAAACTTCTGAAGAAGTGTCCCATAGCAAATGAAGTAAATTTGCATCTCTTGTATGAAGAGCAAAGGCCCATATCAGTGAGTTCAAGTAATAAGGAGGAGGATTTGGAGCTCATTTGAAAGATAACTTTTCAACAGTAAAACGGGGGCCTTGGAAGACTACCTCCAAGGTCTCTCCTCTTGGTTTTCAAGCAGTCAAAATGCCCCTCCACCACGGCATTGCCTACACTGCACTTAGATGTAAATGCAGACTAAATAAAATTACACCAGTGATGACAGTCTTAAAGAATCAGATCTGTTGATTGACAGGGGACTGAGTCAAGCAGAAGCTAAACAATCATCTGCCAGAAAAAAATTAATTTAGACTGCAGCACTGAAAGTTGGAACTGACAGCTCACGTGGGCCCTTCTAACTTTATGATTCGATGACTCCATTATCTTACAAGCTTCCGTTCAATAATTCTCTGATATACCTTGTTTATTCCCAAAGGAATCCATGGAAAGGGGTTATCAAAAAAAGAAGATGACGGCCACGGCCACATATGCACCTAAGAAGGGGAGAGGCTTCAACCATGAGATGTGGCCACCATCTTGACTTTCTGGACCCAACCCAGATGCCCGTTTGCTCCTATGGAACAAACCATCTGCAGTCCAGTTTCAACCTATTTATAGTATTGGAAGCATCCGTAAGGGCCTGAGAACCTGAACACAATATAAAATATTCCAACCCGAATTCAGTACAGCTTGCTTTTTTTTTTTACGTAACACTTAAATAACCTTCCCCCCCCCCCCATTTTAAAAGCCATTGTTCTGCTCTCCCAAATGATTCTCTTTGTTTGCTGGGTTTTATAAATTCTTGAATTGTGAACAGAGATCCAAATTTAGAAAGATGCTATCCAAAAAGGAACAAAAGGGGCTGTTCGGGTTGGGGAAGATAAAATCGGAAGGATTTCCTTTCTGAGCGCGTGCACGGGGTGGCATTTTGCAAAGCAACCATGCCCCATTGCCTCCCAACCTCAGAAAGACCCAGTTCTTAAGAGTCTCTTCTGATGTCCGATTAGAAACATACTGAAATATTTCTTTGGCGTGAAACCCCCGATGCTGCCCAGTTAAAGTCATGACTTTAAAACGTTCTGACTTCACAGCAACTTTCCCAGATCATCCCAAACATTGGTTAGATTGTTCAGCCACCGTTTTGCAATCAATCAACCATCGGTGCTGCCCAGATAAGTGGGTCTATATTACGCATGGACCCCTAAAATGGATCTAAGAGCTTCTTTACTACTTGTTCAACTTAAAGAGTTAACTTGAAATCATATTGGTGGAAACGGATGTCAAGATTCTGGTACGATAAAGTAGCATTCTTGGAATCCCTCCTGCAGGGTCTGCCTCTGAATTGGCCTACCTCAAAGGGCTGACATCAATCTTGAAAACCTCTCCAAGTTTCTCTCTGCCCCATCGGGTTCTAAACAAGATCAAGGTAGGGTTATTTCTTCTATGTATAATATCTTATCCCTCTTTAATGGCTTGTTCCTACCTTTCTCCCTTAATAGCTCTTTCATATTTTCCCTACTGATAACACTACCTGGTAGCCAAAAATGCAAAGGATCTGCAAGCCCTCGTAAGAAAAATCAAGGAGCACAGTAGAAAAATGGGACTAAAATTAAATATCAGGAAAACCAAACGAATGAACAGGTACAACAACCAGTCTTAGAACTGATAATGAAGGTATTGAAGTGGTGGAGAGCTTCTGCCTTTTTGGATCAACCATCAATAGTAAAGGAACCAGCAGTCAAGAAAGACACCGCAGACTAGCACTTGGTAGAGCAGCCCTGAAGGCCTTGGAAAAGATACTGAAATGCTGGAATGTGTCTAGATCTACAAAGATCAGGATCGTGCAAGCCATGGTCTTCCCTGTGACCTTCCATGGAAGGGAAAGTTGGACTTTAAAGAAGCAGGAGAGGAAGACTGGAAGACTATTGACACTTTTGACTTTGGGGTTGGAGAAGACTCCTGAGAATATCGTGGACAGCCAAGAAAACAAACTGATGGATCATTAAAGAAATCAACCCAGAGTTCTCACTCGAGGCCCAAATGACCAGGCTCAAATTATCCTACTTTGAACACATTATGTGAAGACCCAGCTCTCTGGAAAAGGCTCTGATGCTGGGAAAGGCGGAAGGAAAGAGAAGAGGATGAGCAGCAGCAAGGTGGACAGAGTCACAGTGGTGATGGATGCACCGTTGGAAGACCTGAAGGACCAGACTGGGGGCAGATCATCCTGGAAAAGATCCATCTATGTCAGTGTTGTGCAAACTTGGCCACTTTAAGATGAGTGGACTTCAACTCCCAGAATTTCCCAGCCAGCCATGCTGGCTGGGGGATTCCGGGGGTTGAAGTCCACTCATCTTAAAGTGGCCAAGTTTGGACAACACTGATCTATGTGGTCGCTAAGAGTGGACAATGACTTGATGGCACATAATCAATCAATAAATCAGTGCCATTAACTGAATTCTTCCCTGTGTATTTTTAATAGCTTTTCCATCCCAGTCTCATCCATTCATCTACTCACTGGTTTATTTATTTATTATAAATCCATGGATTACCGTGGCACCCAACCAAATGTGGGGAGGCTAGGATTACAAATGAAAGTGTGAAAGCAGGTTTTGGAGGGGCTGCACCCCAACTTGGGGGCAGCTGAAGATGAACCCCCCCTTTTTTTTCCAGCAGTACTACTGTGCATTGTGTAAAAGGAAAAAGAACGCAAGGATAGTATTCTAGGATGGAACTGACCCCGTGTAATGTGAGTGCGATCATTTGGCACAAGACCCCGGACGGAAGGACCCAGATGCCAGGACCAGCGCAGAAATAGCAACGAGTCCTGTGGTGACCGCTCTAATGGGGCCAGGGAAAAAAACAAAACTTTAAAAGCATTTCCTTTGGTAAGCAGAGGAAGAGGTCCCATTATCTGCTCTTGCCAGGGAAGTAAAGGGAGATGTCCACAGCCCAGCGCTGTGTTCTTTTCTACAAAATGAGTCGTTGTAAGAATAGGGGGGTTCGTGGCGACAGTGTTGGTTTAAAACGTGGGTTTTCCATCCATCTGTTCCTACACAATGTTGGTCATGTGAACTCCTACAGCCAAATCCAGAAAGCAGAACTGCCTAGGCACAAAGGACCCTATCAGTGAAGACCAGCCACATGGTGTGCACACAAAACGACACAGATCTCGGCCATCGTGAGAGCCGTAGCTCAAGGCCTCCAGCAAACTCGACTATTCCTGCCAGCGGATAAGCTGTGGAAGGAAGCAGATCTTCTTCTGCTGACCTGTGAAATTACCCGCCGCTGGCTTTCTCTTTTCCCAAAGGCCAGCCACTTCACAACAGATGCAAAGGAAAAAGTGCAATGGGATGGGTGTCAAGTTAGACGCCGGGGCTCAGCAGAGTAGGCCAAGGTGGCCCTTCAGATCTCAAGCTCTCCCCCAAACCTACCCCAAATTGAAGCAGCTGCTGGCCGAGAAACCAATCAAACAATGCCATTTTGAGCTGTCCCTTATCTAATTGGGCTGGAAGGATCTAGCAGTCTCTAAACTAACATATTCCTAAGAAATTTGCCCTTTTTAGATAGGGTCAGTGCAAAGGTATTTCTGGGCTCTGGGGCTTTAGGCTCTCCAGGAGGAAGTGGGGAGACTAAGCCCTGACTTGGGCAGAGGGTTGAAAAGCTTCTCCGTTGGCCAGATCTGAATCCAGACTGGTTGCATAAGAGAAAACCAGTAAAAAGTAGGTGATAGTTTTGCCCCCCAAAGGCTACGATTCTAAGAGAGAGGAGCCAGGGAGCAAAGGTTCCTCAGGTGCCGAGAAGAGGGTAAATAGGATACAGAAGCAAATTCAGATCGTGGCAGGGCAAAAATTAAAGTAGGGTAGGGTAGGGTAGGGTAGAGTAGAGTAGAGTAGAGTAGAGCAGAGTAGAGTAGAGTAGAGTAGAGTAAAGTAAAGTAAAGTAAAGTAATACATTTAAATTAAATTAAATTAAATTAAATTAAAAATTAAATTAATTAAATAAAACAAAACATAGAAGCATTATGTATGATGCCTAAAGTTGCACAAAATAAAGGTGGGATATAAATCTAACGAAGAAAACAAAAGAAAACAAGAGGTGGAAACATGATGTATGCTACCCTGAGTTGCACAAAATAAAGGTGGGATATAAATCTAATGAAGAAAATAAAATTAAAAATAAAATAAAATAAAACACAGAAGCATTATGTATACTGCCTAAAGTTGCACAAAATAAAGGTGGGATATAAATCCAATGAAGAAAACAAAAGAAAAAAGAAAAAAAGAGGTGGAAACATTATGTATGTTACCCTGAGTTGCACAAAATAAAGGTGGGATATAAATCTAATGAAGAAATTAGAAATTAGAAATTAGAAATTAGACAATAGACAATGGAGAGGAGAGGAGAGGAGAGGAGAGGAGAGGCGAGGCGAGGCGAGGCGAGGCGAGGCGAGGCGAGGCGAGGCGAGGCGAGGCGAAGCGAAGCGAAGCGAAGCGAAGCGAAGCGCAGCGAAGAGAAGAGAAGAGAAGAGAAGAGAAGAGAAGAGAAGAGAAGAGAAGAGAAGAGAAGAGAAGCTCTCTGGTTGACTGGTTCAGTCAGAGAGCTTTCAGGAGAAACAAAGATGAACAGTCTTCAGAAAACTCAGCGGGATGGTCCCACCCACCTCTCTAAAACAGCCTTTCCCACCCGTCACCCTCCAGATGCAACCATGCTTATTGAGACCCACGGCAGTTGTCATCCAGTGTGCCTGAAGCACACCAGATGGGGGAAGAGCACCCCAGACATGACTTCCAGCTTCAACCTGGGGAGCTTTCCGTCGCTCGAAGCTCCAGTATTTCTCTGCAGACTGAATCATCTATTTTACCGAAACGCTGGACGAGAGGAATGTCTGCATTTCTGTGTAGATAATTGCAAGGGATTTGATTCCGTTTTTGTTTCTGGCCACGCCAACTTCAACAGAAACGGCTCAAAACGGGTGTTGACTGAGCTTTTCCATATTTCCCCAGTAGATACAGCTGTCCTCCCTCGCTTCAGAACCCGTCAAAGTAAACCACTTAATTTTTATCTGCCTTTTGTTACCTCTTCCATGCACAATGTACATTTCAAACTGACCCCAATACGGAATGCCGGCACTTTTTCGGTTAAACAATCCTTTAATCGCTTAGAGCAGTGTTGTCCAAACTTGGGCACTTTAAGATGAGTGGACTTCAACTCCCAGAATTCCCCAGCCAGCATG